CCCGAAGGGGGAGGGGACGCTGCACGAGGTCGGCATCAGGCCCCCAGGCCGCGAGGAGGCGTCGCAGGCCAGTGCGGGCCGAATGGAGCCACTAGCCCAGCTTGCCCCCACGTCGCTAGAGACTGTCCCCGGGGAGGGCGTGGTCCTCCTCACTCTGCCTCCGCCTCACTTTCTCCTGGGTCTCTTCCTCAGAGTCCCCTAAGTCGGAGCCTCCAGACTAGAGTCGAAATTTCAAGCTGGGGGCATGTGGGGCCACAGACCATCTCCAGAGCCACCGGCCAGGCACTTCGCCCCAAACCCTGGCGCTGTCTCCTCGCGTTCCTGGGGTTGCTCTCGGTGGTCCCGGGAGAGAGGAAGCAAGAGGTACTTCCCTCTGTTCCCAGTTGACCCCAGAAGTGAGGATGGAGAGGGAAAGGGGTGGAGGGCTCACAGGACAGCGTGCACAGGACCTGTTGCTGATGCTCCGGCAGACTGGCGCCCATCCCGGAGAACGTAAGGTTCCCGAATTCTCCAAGAAGCAGTGTTGGAGGTGGGGAGCATAGGAAAAGGGGAACACCTCTGTGCCCTCCTCGCCTTGGAGAAGTGTTGGAGGAAAGATACCCTAGCAGACCCAGGGGGCCAGAATCCCTGGACATGCTCCTTTAGGCTCAGGGTGAGATAGGGACATGGGGTTGAAGTCACTGGAAGGGGACCATTCCTCCAAGGCTGGCTTTGACCAAAGTTGCAGTTATGGGGAACTTGAGATTTCAAAAAAAACAACAACAACAAAAAACAAGACAAAACAAAACAAAACAGAATGTGTCAAGTTTATTTTAAAACACCCCACTAGTTCACCTTTCTTAAAAGCCATATCTGGACCCCCTGACTGGAGGCAGTAGAGAATTAAGACCCTTCTCAACACAAGACCTCCAGATGCCTATCCTAGTCCTTCTTTTCCCCTGTGTTTCCTCTCAGATAAGGGTCATTTGATGTCACTAAGAACCTAAAGCACCCCTCCCCTACAGGGTCCTTGGAAATTTTAATTTCCTGCTCATCCTCCTCACCTACCTCCCCTCCCCTGTCTCCTTCTCCAAGGGTTAGTAAGACTGAGAGTCAGGCAGGCCCTGGTCTTTCCTTGCCTGGCCGAGGAAGTTGACACCCTCAGCCAGGTGGGAGCTGGGCTGATTGACCATCTATATCATAGCATTCAGTAACCCCGGATGGCGGCCCCTTTGAATTTCCAACTGTTCTGAGGGCTGGGGTCACCTGCCCAGACACACGCTGGTGGTCCAAAATCTGCAGCCGAAGTCCAAGCTGAAATGGAGACCTGCACCCTGCCAAACATTGCCTTCAGGCATTACAGGTCTCAGGGCCTCGGGGAGCCCACTGATCCCAAGACATTCACAGGCCAATTTCAGGACCCACAGCCCACAGAGCAAATCCTGGCAGTCAGGCGCCCAAATAATATTCTTCGTTCATCTTTTTCAAAGTTGATTTATAGCGATCGACAGGTTAAAGCCTCATCTGACTTCATTACTTTTAAAAGCTGTCTATTTCACAACTGTCACTTTTCATCACTTACTCAAATAAATACTTGAAGAAGTGAATTGGAAGAGACTTTTAGATCATGTTTATAATTCTTGGTCGCCACGTTAACATTCCTAGTGACCTGACCTTCTGAGTTTCTGTAGACTCTTAAACTGGGCCGAAAATTCCTGCATTTATACCAGAAAACTTGAAGGAAGGTGAGGCGGCTGGAAATACGGACTAGAAGTGGTGCAGCTGGCGACAAGTCAGCGACCAGCAAAGCTTCCGTGTGGCGGTGGCAGCCAAGGCCCAGGTCGGGCACCCAAAATCGCTGGGTAGAGGGGCAGCTCTCCAGGCAGGGCGCTCAGGTGGATCTAACCACTGAAAAGAGGGCTCAGTCTCATAGCCGCAGGTGTTACCCGGGTCCCACAGAGCCGGGCACAACCCCACAAGGAAGTTTGTGCAGAACGGAAATGCTGTTCAATGTGACTATTTATTACCATTATTATTTCTAGAATTGTTTCCCAAACTGGTTGTAATGGGCCCCACAACCACAGGTTGTGAAAAACGTTTCCTCCTCGTTGTCTTTGACTTCGAGATTGTGAGATACACACGGAAAGCGAGTGTGGAAACGAAATCGTATGGATGAAAGGACGTTCAATAAATCGAATTAGTTTCTTCTTCAATTTTGCTGCCTTTTGCCCAATGCTGGGTCTTCTAGGGCTGGTGTTAATCTCTCTCTCTCTCTCTCTCTCT